GGGAAAGACTCAGACAACAGCAGGTGCAATCTGATTCCTAATCTCTGCAAGGTCTGCCACCTTCATGAACTCCTACTCTGGTGAGAGAAGAATATGCTAACTTAAAAGTGCCTGTATGCTCTTGCCAACTGGGTCATGTTAAGAAGAGAATGAAGAGTTCTCCAAAGACTTCAGGGAAACAAAAGGTGCATGTAGGTGAGTATATGAAAAAGGGGATGTTTGGTTTCACTTGGAGAGGAATTTTGTCTCTTTCTACTCCATTGTGTCCCCCGTGTCTCAGAAAACCAGTAAGAACCTAGTCCAATGCAGCTTCAAATTCTGGGTGAGGTAGGGACAGCTTGACCCACTATGGTCACTGCACGGAATGACACTGGGCTCATCACACATGTGTGATCTACTCCTCTTCAGACTGTGTTGGATGTCATATAAAGAACAAGGCAGGCTTAAAAGGAAGCAGAACATTCATCTCCAGTAATGTTACATGGGACATCCTTGACATTCTTATCAGATTAGACAATACAATGAAGCACTACTTTTACAGGCAGTAAGCGGTTATTCCATTACAATTTTCAAATTTGCATTTCTTTCTAAGCATACATAAAAGGGAATAGTAGGTAAGAAAGCTGAATTAAATAACACACAATTTCACAGTCTTACTGCAGTCTGTAAAATACATAAACTGCATATAACCAGTTTGCTACTACAATAGCTGATGGGTTAATGCACAATATTGTAGACATAGGTGGGAGATGGCACAAAGTGAGGACTACCAGGCTATTGATTCCCCAGTTCCAATTTCTGCACAATTTTTTTTTTTCACTTATCCCATTCAATGAGCATGCAGAGCATGTAGAAAGTATCTCTCAAGTGGATGGGCACTGAGTTGGCAGGACTAAGGTACACAGCCTCTGCAGTGCTTCTGGCTGACAGTGACTGAAATACAGCAGGGGGATTCTGCTCATGGTGAAAATAAACACTTGCCAGAAGGTATGTGTCAAGGGACCATGTTTTAAGAATGCCTTGGTACACCAGAAAAACAAATTCTGCTCTGCTACATACCACAGTTCTCATTTACACAGCTGCAGAAGCCAGCTTATGGGAAGGCACTGTGACACACACTCGTTAGTCTGCTACCTCAGTGGGACAACTGTTTGAGTTGAATGAGCAAGTGAAGATTTTGCCTATTAAAGCTTTATAAAAGGCTCTGACCACGCTCATGCATAAATACTAACCCACATATTAAAATGACTCATTCTCAACTACTTAAAAAATTGTGGTGTAACTGCCCCAAACAGAATTAGCTGCCTGCATCTATGAATGAAACTTGCAAATGAAGACAGTAACCCTTAAGAGATTATTGTACCAAAAAGGATAAAATATATAACAAACTACTTTTTAATTACATTCCCTATGCATAAATAATTGACCATGATTTGCTTTCACAAAATCATTTTAAGATTGTGTGCCTAATAGGAGTTCAACATCTGACTACCCCAAGAAACTGCATTAAAAAACCAAAACCCACCAAGCTAAGTGACCAGAGCCACAGCGACTTGCCTGCTAAGCAGCTCCTTCTCAGGTCCACCAAGAACACCCTAGGGTCCCTCAGAATCAGGTTAATCTTTCGCATGGAGAAGTTTCTCAGGGTAGCAAGAGAATAAAAGTTGCTGGTGTTTTACTGCTGAGAAGAACTTGTTGATTGTGCTGAAAACATGGAGGAAGAACTTTCATTGGGAAGAACTTTCATTCATAGAGAAGCTCTGAGAAGGTTATCTGTTGTTGCACTAAAATAATATTTCTTTCTCTTATGTAGAAGCACAGTTGTAGAGGCATGCTGCAGCATAAGAGTACCATACACACAGTCCCATACACAACTCTGCAGAGCACCTACATTCCCAAGGCTGTCACTTTCCATCACAGACTCAAGCACTGAATTCCGGCAATGAATTCTGTGCAATCCAGCTTACCTCTCACCTCCCATCCATAGGAAGGGGTGGGACTAGGTTATTAGAGTGTCCGCACAGCCACAGGGTAGAGCAGTGACAAGTGTTCTGCTCCTTTGATAGGCAGCTTTTTTGTGGTGTAATAGTGGATGACTTCAGGAACACTGTCGAATGGAGGGCTGTTCTGACCCAGGATGTATTTCTCTTTGGTTTTCATCAGTTTCATGTGCATAAAACCTTGACTGCTCCTGCAAAGAAAGAAGAGCATTAGTTCATGCTTGTGCATAGGGAAAAGGGGAGCAATGCCATGACAGGCTCTCCTTCCTGATGTAGGGGAATATAAGAGAACAAAATGCAAGTAACTGCTAGGTGACAGGCCAAGACAGTGGCCAGACTCTAACAGGCAGTGACTGCTACCTACAAACCCCCATGCACAGTCCAACACAAAGGCAGCCTAAGCTAATATTTTGTTTTCAATACCTGTGCTCTCTGGATCCAGGTGCAAGGCTGTCTTACCCTTGAATTGATGAAGAGGTTTGCCAGAGGACAACTCCTTTCCTTTCCAGTGTTCTCCTGTGAGCACTTTTCACTACAGCCAATCACTACTTCTGGACCAAAAAGTTTCATTGGTTTTGGCTTGTCAGAGGCTCTCTTCATAGACGCATAGGCAGGCCATGAGCCTCACTCAGATAAGGCAAGGCCTGCCCTGTCCTGTAGAGACCTCAGGACAGACCACACCCATTCCACCCTGGCAGCAACTGCCCAGAACATGGCTATGTGCAGAATCTGGTGGCTTCAGCTGGAAAAACTTCCTCATATGAGCCCATTCCCAAGATTAATGGCATAAGGGCTTTCACTTGCACTGTACCGATCAAAGGCTGCTATCCTGCAGCCTTTCTGCAGGCAGAAACCAGTCTGTGTCTTCCACACCAGAAGTGTTCAATTCCTAGATGACCTGCCTGCCTGCACAGCATGCTGCCTCTTTGAGGAAAGGCTCCTGATTACACAGGGAAGAGAAGAGTGGCATGGTAACTACCCTGTCTGCTCCTGCAAAAGCAAGCCATCCAACATAATGCCACTCTGACAGGTAACACCCACACTGCCACACAGTACATTAGGTAGCAGAGCTGACCTCATCTCTTCTCAGCAGTCACCCTTCAGTGTCTGCTGTCTTCAGTATGTCATACCAGCTATTTTAAGAGTGTAGAGTTTAGCCAGGACAAAACAAGAACAAAGGACAGCTCCTACACTTCAAGATGTTAAATGAGGCCTAGAGCATTTTTACCACTTGCTTGATGTCCCACTCCCCAACTTTCTGGCTCCAAACCACTGTTTCTTCGAAGTGTGTCCAGGCACAAAGACAATAGTGTTAAAACTGGAGTTGGTCTATGTCATCAAAGACACCCAGTTTAAGATGACACTGAAAGCTACAGCAGGAGAACAAATCACACGATGTTAAAAGTAGCTTCTCTAAAATATGCCATTTTCTAGTTAGCAGGTGCAGCATTCCCTCCATGAGTGCTTGTAGCACAATCAAGCTTATAGCTTTCAGATATGTTCAACAATTGTCTGATGAAATGACCCTTCCTAGTGAGCAGAAACCACTGTAGGCACTGTAATTACAGCTCTACACACTTAAAATCTTGCTTTAAATATCTATTTCTTAGAGGAAAAAAAAAAATCTCATTTGAATCACAATTGTTCTCTGAATTATTTCCTTTAAACAAGGGTGGTATCTTTAATATTTTATTATGAGCACAGATGTATTGTTCCCTTTCTTTGGTTCACTATGCATCTGCTAATTTCAGGAGTATAGCAAGAACTAGAGAACAATCTGCCAAGTGCACTTTAATGCAGAAAGGGCAAGGACACATGTCCTTTTTAAAACAGAAAGAAAACACATATAATGTAAACAAACTGCTACAAGCCATGTATTCATGACAGACAGCTGTTGCTTCCCTAGTAAGGACCTATGTAGATACTTCGGATTGGGTAGTACATACTCATTGAGGTTACAGTATATGAAATTTAACTAGAATGCCACAAATGAACAAGAAGCATCTCCTCTGTATCATGACAGGTCAGCCTTTTGGGAGGCCGTTCTGTGAAGGTGAGTGAAAAAAATGTGACCTAGAAGTTATGGATAGCCGCCTAATGGAACTCAGCCACAACAGATAGAAAACTGCCCTTGGGATGAAATAAACCCAGGCAGCAGTGCAAGTTGGGGCATGACTGGCCAGAAAAGGAGCTATGGTGGACAGGACACAGAACATGATTTAACAGTCTGCCCATAAAGGCCTACTGCAGCCTGGGCCGTGTAGCAAAAGTGTAGCCAGCGGCTGGAAGAAAGTGACTACTTCCTCTACAGAGTGCTGGTGAGACTGCATCTGTATCTGTAACTGGTGTGAGGGCCCCCCATAAAAAAAAAAAAAAAGAAGCCAACACTGGAGCAAGTCCAGAGCAGGGCCACTAAACATGGTCTGGGGGTGGGAGCACATGAGGTACCAGGAGAGGCTGAGGGAACTGTGTCTGTTCAGTGTGGAGAAGAAAATGTGAGATGGAGTGTGTCAGGTTGCAGTAATCCATTGCCTAAACAGGAGAGTTAGGAGAGTTATAGAGAAGACAGAAGTTTCTCAGAGGTACACCGTAAGTCAATAAGCATAGGCTACAACAGAGTACCCACTGGACATAGCAAAAAACTTGTTCCTCATGAGAGTAGTGCAGCCCTGGGACCAGGCTCAGACAGGTCAGGAGGTCTCCATACTCACAAGTTTTCCAAATTTGCCTGTACAAAGTACTCAGCAACCTGATGGGTGTGTCCTGCTTGGAGCAGGCAGTTGGACTAGACACCTCCAGAGGTCCATTCCCAACTAGATCTCTCTAGGAATCTATGATTAATCTTTACCATTTGTATATTTTCAGAAACCACCAAGTAGAGCTTCTAGTTCAACAAAAATTTTTATTTTAAATGTTTGCAAAAATCTATTATTAAAGAAAAACAATCAAAAAAAGATCAAAGAAACCTGTGAAATTAAATTTCAGGATTCCTAAGTAAAACTTTCCTGAAATTGAAAATGTGGGTTTTGTGCAATTATTTCACAAGAAAGCACAATAAAATCCACCTTTATTTCAAGCTGGGCGCTAAACACTGTTAACAGGAAGACCTACAAAGGGGACAAGTTTTGACACCCGAGGGGTTCAAGAAAGTGAGAAGTCAATGCAATGTGATGGCAGAGATTACAATGTGCAGGCTGCATGGCAGATTGCTCACTTCCTGCTCTTTGGATTTGCCCTTTGCCAACCAACCAGCAGGGGTGACATCGCTGTGCAACTGTCTGTAGAGAAATCTTGCAGTTAATGGGGACAGGACCATAGACAAGCTAGTGTCCTGCATGCAGGTCTATCCTAGTCTGACACAAACGCTGAGGAGCCAGCTCTGGACAGAAGAGTAACTGCTGACTCCTGGAAGCAGGGAACATGGTACTTTCCTGTTCACTTGTGCATTTTAGAATAATGAATCTTCCCTTTTTTTTTTTTTTTTTTTTTTTTTGTTTTGGTCTTTGTGTTTTTAAAAAAATAAATTTCCCTTTTTTTTTTTTTTTTTTTTTTTTAGTTTTGTTGGTGCCATCTGCAAATTGTCAGCTCAGGGATGGGAAAGCAAAATCTGATTGCTTGGAGAAAGGATGAAAACACTTCAGCATAATGGGCTTGCCAGACAAATGGCAGTGGAGACCATCTCCATCAATAAGCTAAAGCCATGGCCAGCTGACAGCCAGCTCCTTTGGCCTAAGTAACCTATTCTATTCTATTTGCCGCTTCACCTCCTTTTGGACTAGTGTTCTGGCTTGGCAGTCAGAGCTTCAGACTATTTGCTTACAGATGAGGGAACATTTCTGCTGCTGTTTTTCTTCCTTCACCGCAAAGCAGCTGAAGTATGGCATGAACTAATAGTTCTGTGATCGTATTTTTTCACCAAAGCAGTGTCTATGGCTCATAGTGATGCTTCACAAGGCAGCTCCAGCAGCCCTACTTCTTATCAAAAGAAGAATCTTGCAATTTCTCTTCCTTTGATAAAACATGTTTGAAGAGCAAACTGCAATCACAGAGAACTCCCAAGCAGGTAACACATCTCATTAATGTATGCAATCTTTAATGCAATTCACACCAATGCTGGATATCATTCATTATCAGAACAAAAATAAATTTTTGATCAAGATGACTATGAAATATTGTTAATGAAATTGAACCTAGTAAAAAAATCACCCACTCCTAAAAAGCAAGATATTTAATAATATATTATGCAATTTTGCAGCTGCTGGTGCATATTGCTGGCAGCTAGTATGCACCTTTTACACCTCTTACTTTTCCTGCTAATTGCTCAATGAATTTTTCATGAAGAATATAGGGCAACACTTATACTTAATCAATTCCTGTCATGATAGATAACTTAAAAACACTTGCATACAAAACTGGTATGACTGGAGGTAGAAAGGTCACCCTCATCTCTCATAAACAGTAGTAAGTAATCCACATAGTTTGCATTTCGAGGACCAAAACTCCATCACTGTTTTCTGAGATTTCTGTCTTATTTCATGACAATGGGATGTCACCCCACATCCTTTCTTTTCAGGCAGTTTGCATTACAATTTTTAAGGGGTGTAGTCCTGCAATGTTAAAATCAATACAAATGACTTGTGGGGTAGAAGGATTAAGCTCAACAAATGAAGGACCTCTCACTGCATTCACTGAATCATCATTTTATCAATCACAGCCCTCTGTGACATTTGGCTCATTTAGCCATTGAAAGCTGACTGCCTAAGACTAGCAAACCTGGAGTTATTGTTTGCAAATAGCTTTTCTGTTAAAACCAACTGCTAACCAGGATCTTTGTGGAACATCCCAGATGATTCAACCATCAACTGGCCATGTGCAGATGAAAACCTGTCAGGTTATCTTCATTCAGTTATCAGTAATCTTCAGTCATCTTAATTCTTAGCTATATCACCTGATTAGTCAGTGACATCTCTAGCAGCCCTCAGTCAAGCACTACCTCCCATTTTCTTTTCAAGGCAGTATGTTGGAAAAATGGGAGGAAATGGTGGCCATCTAACCTAGCATTTTGACTGTTGAAAAGTGGTTATATCCCACCTCCATACTATTGCCTAAATAGTAATCCCAAATTCACATATGTGAATGCTGATGAAAGGCAGTGCCTTGAAGAGATGAGACATACACATTTTGGAAAAGA